TCACAACGAAGGAACGTGCCCATGCCTCCACGTGCCATTATACCGGGATTCGCCACTACGGTGCCATTTATGTTCTGAAACATTACTCAATGAAGTTACTCCAGTTTTGTACAGTAAATTATGGATTGTAAAACAAAAGCAAACTCAATACCTTTATCGAAGCGGACAGAACCGAAGAGGCAATGACAACATGTGGAGCACTCTGTAGTGCACATATTTTCAGGCTTTCTTCTGTGGACATCGGCAAACATGGTGGATATAGTGGATACAAGGATCGTTGGCTGAAAACAATCACTATCTGTAACAAAAAGTGGCGACTAGTTTTTCAAGGAACCTGAGCAGATGTGAAGCTAAGCGTGAAATTCGATCACGATTTTCTTGATCTTCAGAGCGATGCCATTCGTTTTTGCTCAGATGTGCAATTATCTAAATGAAGGAGAAAACATAGCTTATCCTTCTGTACTTTACATTGCGGCTACTTTATTCGTACCATACATCGAAGCTTTATCATAAACACAAAAAATTGTGGGATGAGAAGATCTCGAGGAACCACAGCACCTACCTCACTACTCGTTAGAGCTATTTCTATCCCGTTGACACGGACTATACATGGATCAGGAACTGAATGCAGTCGCTGAAATGTTCAGACTGTTGCGAGATGTACGTATAGTCTAGCAAAAAACGGCTTACCTTTCCCATCCTTTTACAAACATCGGAGCTTATTTCCAAAGGTGGCGTGGGGAAAAAAGGTGCACAACATAGATCTCGCGATGGCGCTGGCTGCACAATCAACTCAGTTCGACAACTGAAACAATTTTAAGAACTGAGGAACTCTGTGAGTCAAATCATTTTGTTAGAACTTTGTGACTAACTTAGAAAATATGCCATAAGCTCATTAAAATGTCAGCTTACCCATCAAGAGCTTTGGCAACGTTGCGCATCAGCTGTTCAAGTACTCCATCATAAGTTTCTGGAAACTCCGCTCGTTGGATGAACGTATTTTTGCTGTCAACGAATGGACCCATCTGCAAACGAGTACTAAAGACGTCATATAGATATTTTTTGAAATTCTGCTGACCAGTACAAGCACATGTGGCTGCTCTTCCTTGACCATCTCCAGCAGATCGCAAAGAGGTTCATATGAGCAGTTCTCCACAGTAGTGAAAGGCCCGCATGCACACCATATGCGTAGATTATCTAGAACGAAGTAAATAGGGTGATTCTTCGGAAAAAAA